AATTTCCGTGCAATATTGCGAACAAGGTCAGCGTGCATTAAATGAAGAATCGAACATTTGATGCCATTCGATAGGTCACTCACTGATGGAAATTCGAGTTTAATTCTGTTTTTTTTTTCTCGTATTCTAACCACCCCCCCCCCCCCCCATTTACTCAATAGTGTGAGTACACAATTGAAATTCCACACTTCAATGAATTTCACTCACACGCTCTTCTACAGGAAATGAAGATTGAATACCATTTAAAAAAGGAAATTTATTTGATTTCAACTTAGATCAAAAGTAAATACTATGTCTGTTCTTTCTTCCCATAGCTTATAAGTTCATTTGAATATGTGGTTGTTATTCGATTCAAGTAAAGTCACTAACCATTGTGAACCTTATTCCTATGCGAACCATCTAAAACCGAAGTCAAATTTGCTTCATATTATATTGGGCAGTAAGGATAATTTCGAAATAATTAATTAGCAAGGGATGCATATACAGTCTCATATGACAATCGATAAATTGTTAAGAAATTCATTAAAAGCGGCAAAAGCGAATGGTATGTAATGAAATACCAATCTATTAGATAGCATGCTTGCGTGTGTGCAATCAATCAACGATCCGATCAGCGTGAAAATAGCGCCAAGAATTCCAAAAATTACCATCTACATTTCCGCTGGGATGTTTATTATTACGTCAAGCGGTGCGCATTCACAAGAATGTATCTGAGTGTTTTTCTTCAAGCTTAAAATAAAATTGATTCAGAATTGAACGTTTTTCGTTGTCATTCCATAAGTGTTCTTCAAAGTATTAACATCGACGAAGTGCTTTGCTGAGTGACTGTTCCACCTGAAATAATATAATATTTTTGCAACTTTATAATTTTTCATATAATTTCAATAATTTCGAAATAAATTATTGTAAATACGTTATCCTTCAGAATGTCTATGCAAAGAGATACACGGGATGTTCAAAATTTCAACGAATTAAAAGTGAGTCATAGTTGCTACTCTATTGCGGTATTGGATAAATATAATTTTAATTCAATTAACAGACGATACGAGCGATTTTCAAGGATTTTTGCTCAAATAGCTCAATACATGGCGTCCGCTATCTCACCGAACGACGACGACACTGGAGTGAAAGGCAAATTTGTCATTTGCAATTTGAATACTCATTTTAAATGATTTTATTGAATTTCAGACTCTGGTGGATTGTTGCATTTAGTTTGTCCGTGTATTTTTGCGTTTCTTCCATTCACAGTATTCTAATTAATTGGAGTGAAAATTCAGTGAACATGATTATGGCTGAGAAAAATGCTATGGTTTCTACAATTCCATTCCCGACTGTCACAATTTGTGTGAAACCGAAAATTCACCTAGCTAACCTGAATATGACAAAAGAGGAGGACTTTTGGAAAAAACCCTTTTCTGAAAAACGGTAATACACCGAAAATAATGAATCAATCAAATGTTTAATTAATCTGATATTTTAGTTTAACACAAATGGAGGCTGTGGGTATGATCTGTGATTTTCCCACCAAGAAAAGATCCAATTTTACAGACGATTCAATTTATGATACGTTTCAAGAAATCGCACCAGATTTAAGTGACGTGGTGTTTTGGTGTACATGGAGAGGAGCAAACTTCTGCGTTTTTTCATTGAGTACAGTTATTACTGCTGAAGGTGTTTGCTTCGCTTTCAACGCTTTGAACTCAAATGAGATTTACACCGAAGAGTAAGACATAAAGCATTAAATGAATAAACTCAAAGCTTGACATCGAAATTTAATTGCAAAAAATTGTGCTATGAAAGAGATCGTTTTGAAAAAGAGTAGGTGAAATATTTGTTCTCTTTCAGAATGGCACCCGGAATGATGATCGTCGATAACAATCCAAATGTAACATATTGGAGTCCAGAAGGTGGATATTACGATGAAACAAACAAGGAATACTACCCGAATCGAATATTCAATGCAATGCCAGGTGGTGCATTAAACATTGACTTTCATCTCTCGAATCAAGATTTGGAAGGTACTTGTCCGTACATCAAATCCGCGTACCGAATATTTCTCCACATGCCAGGCGAAGTACCCAATATGTCACGGAATGTCATTCAAGTGGCACCATCAGAGATCGCAGAATTCTCGATAAAGGCCACATATACCACAACATCTGAGGGATTACGCTCATATGAGCCAAGTCGTCGCCAGTGTTTTTTTGATTCCGATAGGCAGTTACGTTTTTTCAAGTTTTACACCCAAAATAACTGCATAGAAGAGTGCCTGGCGAATTTTACGAAACAAGAATGTGGATGTGCCAGATTCTTTATGCCAAGTGTGTGAATTACTTTAGATTCCGAATTGTTATTCGTATTTGTGATAAAATGCATACATTCATCCGTTTTTGCAGGAGAAAGACACACCGAGATCTGTGGTGGTGCAAAGGCCAACTGTTATTTAACTGCAAGAGAAAAGCTATTTGGTGAAGATGTGGTCGAGGGTTTAGAAGATGAAAATGCCAAATCTTTTCGCAAAAACTGTCAATGTTTACCATCATGCACTTCTATTACATATGATGTGGTTGATCGAACTCAAACTTTTAATCAACTCACCAGAACAGAGCGGTAGGTTTAATGAAAAAGATGTATTGATTTTCTTCTAAAGCTCTGAAATCATCTTCTGGCATTTATAGTGCCCAAGACACCGAAGTTATGATTTACTTCAAATCACACGACATAGTGACGCTAAAACGAACTGAAGCCTATACGGTCACTCGAATTCTGGCAATTTGTGGTGGGTTACTTGGATTATTCTTGGGTGTTTCAGCCCTGAGTGTTATCGAGTTTTTTTACTACTTCACACTGCGACTATTTTGCAACGTTCACCGATGGAAATTGAGCCGAGTGATGCCATTCAAACGGAAATTTGTACGTGAAGTGTCAAATAATACATTAAGCGTGTGAAATACGAAGAGGATTTTACTTTAAAAATTACTGTATGTGCTGTTAGTTTGCTAGAAAGAATATTTTTGTAAACAAATGAAAAAATACCAATAAATAGGATATATAATTACACAACCGTTATATTTATCCCAAACCATTTACTCTGGGAATTTTCAATCAACTGTTTTGACTAATAATAAATTCAACGAACGAAAAATCATTTCAAAAGCTTTGGTTTACAGTCGTGATTTAAATATCAAAACATTGAGTTTGAAGGAACTGTTACCTAAAATTCAAAGTACAAAAGAGAAAATCGTGAGTATTTATTAGATCGAAAAT